GCGCAACAGCACTTCATTATCGACACATGAGGACACACTACACACATACATGTTGCCCGGCATAGATGACCACGGCCATTTGCCACATTTCTAATTGAAGTAGGCAGAAAGTTCATGCGTGCTTACATCTAAAAATACTACAAATTAATTAAATACAATATAATTAATTTCTTTATTATATCTACATACATACATACATTATCAACACCACCATCAGCACCACCACCCATCCTCATTGTTTTAGTACATAAGTTTTATTGTATGAATATTTTAGCATATTGAAAAGGAAGCTGGAACCTTAACTTACATACACATACATCATAAATTAACAAAAAAAAAAAAGATGTACTTCTTGGAAAATAAAAAGATTTCATTTTAAAGTACATATTTATCATACGAAAAATAAAATAATTTTTGTACATGAATCCCTTACATTATTCACATTTAATGCTTTAAGTTATTTGTGTATGATATGGTCTCTTGTGCACAAGTATGTACACGCGTACAATAAAGTGTGTATGTATATAAATATGAAAATATTTGGGCGCATACACCAAATGCTTACATATGTACACATTCATACATTCTATATGCTATTGTAGATATTCACGTAAAAAGGTAATGTAATTTAGTAACAAATACAAATATATACATACATAACAACATAATGTGCTTTGCAATTTTTAAAGTTAACTCAAATAAAGATTTTTTTTTCGGAGAAAATTACCGAGGCGTTTTAAGTGCTTTTTCCCGATGCTATGGAAACTGCTAATGGCATATTTTTGAAATTTTTGTGCGTTATAGTAAGTCATGTTGCAGCCCATTGTTCTAAGATGATGTGTTAGAGCTGTGCTAAGGTGAAGCTTTTTGGCTGTGCTTCCTTCCCTGAGCCGATTTGGAAGCGTTAAAACGACCATCCGTAGTTTGAAAATAACTGCTTGCATTTTTTTCTTATCCTGAGAACAATTTCAAACTAGTCGTCAACAAACTTGTTGAAACCGTTACTTAGCCGCTTCAGTCGTTGTCGTGAAGCTCAGCTAACGGCAGACCCAGGGTTATTTGCTGTTTCTACGGGATCGCACCAAAGGAATAGTGATCTTAGTTTGAGCAGGTATGTGAAGAGTTGGCTGTTGCCAGACTGCGAACCTTCACGTGGAGTTTATACAATAGGTATGTCGGGGGGGGGGGGGGGTCTAGTCTAGGTCGAGAGTAGTTGTTGTTGTAGCAGCTGCTCAATCCTGACTAATCGGCTTGTCCCTCAATCGTTGTTGTCAAGCTCAACTAACGGGCGACAGAAGCGTTAGTTTTGTAGTTTAGTGGGTATGCGAAGACATGTCTAGAGTCGTGGGGTGTGTCTCCGCATGCCGCATAAGATATTTCGCCAACCGAAACGAGGTTAGATCGCCGAAACAGCCCTTGGTCGGGTAAAACCCAAATCAATTCGGTAAGTAGAACCGGCAGTCGTGGAAATGGTCAAGAGTAGTGGTAGGTGGTGGCCGACTCTCTAAGAATGCTGTTGATCTTCGTTGATACGTCGTCGGATCCAGTGGTATGTCGATATAGGTCTGAACGGCGTCCTTATACTCGAAAGGATGTCCTCTGACGTGACTGGGCGGAGGCACTTCCTCAAGCAAACATCTATTGGGGTGATCATACCTGTGGAATCCTACCAAAAACAGCAATCAATCAAATGAGATTTCCACTCTGTCGTCAAGTCTCTTCGGATAGGACAGCGACCTCACGGCTGACCAGAGCTTATTAAAACCAGAGGCGAAGTTGCAAGTCTTCAAATACTCCTCCCACTTTTTCCGCTTATGTTGGTTTATCAGTTTGCCGATTCCAAGTTAATGACCCTTAGGCGGGGAACCCCGGAATCAACCTAGCGTAGGTGGTCACGCTCAAATGCGAGAGCAGCCGCTTCTGTCGGAAAGTTTGGGCGGACTTTCGCGAAGCGTTCGAATGAAATGAAGCCAGCCGCTGCGGCAGTGAACACCTTGCGGAACTGGCGTTCGCCAGCATATACGTTTGCGGGCGTGGGAAGGGCGGCGAAATCGCTCTCATGCCTTCCGTGAAGTCGTTTCAATCTGTTTTGTTGAAGTTGACAAATGTTCGGTGGACCGCGGAAGCAAAATCTTTTGGCTGATGCGAGTGTTAGCATAGGTCACCACGTTATGCTTGGCCCATGCATGATAGATAGTTATAGCACTGCGACCGATAGGTCTATTGTGACATTAGCTCATCACAAAACTTCGACTAACCGTATCTAGAGACTATTTCATAATAGATCTCGGGGTTGCCCCCGCTAGCAATTGTTAGGTCTGGCGAATTGCTGCAGCTAACCACAATCCTTGTGGGGGCGCAGTCATTCATGGTGCCGAATATAGACAGGGGGTATATACACATTAAATAGTTTGAGCTCGACCTCACCTGACCGGATAGCTATGCCATGACATTCTAGGGCGGCGTTCCTTGTGTCGATGTCTTCTTCTATTAGACAATGCTGCACAGTGTGATGTAGGTTGAACCCTAGGCCTCCACCATTGTCTCGATCGCGATATTTCCGGAGCAATGTTTTTGTCTAATAAAGCTTTCTCAAACACTTTTTCGTTTGGTAGCAATCTTGTAATATTTCATGCATTATTCATATTTTTAACCGACTTCCAAAAAAGGAGGAGGTTAT